TGGAAATATTTCAAAATAATGTAGAAATTTTCTTTCCGTGTTCGGGAAGAGGGCTATACGGTTATTCCTTCAGTCACCAAACCCAAAATGTCCTGAACTAGAATTGTGGGCATTTTAAAATGTTTTCGTAGATTAAAAAATAGATATTTTTAAGGATTTCCAGCCAAGAGTTATTGAAATATTTTTAAGGACAAAAATATTTATTAAGGGTAAACATTCGCGGATTTTTGAGAAAAAAAATCCCTTTATTGTCGTTTTTTTAAAAACAACGTTTGTTTACTAGTGGAGAACGATGGTAATGGTAGGATATACCTAGGTTTCGAAGAGAGACACCAATCCTAATCAGTTCCCTTGTTTTTTGTCTGGGATATTCTCACCAGAAGTTATTTTAAAAATAACTTCTATGACAAAAAATATTTTTTACCCAAGTGACTAGATCGTAAGCTCAATAGAAGAGGATTCAAAGAATTTAATTAAACTAAAATTCTTTTGGAAAATTTTCTAAATCTTACAACCGCACTTATAAACATTTACATCTTTCTCTACTTGTTATGCTTTCGTTCTATCTGAACGAAGTAGCATAACCATGTAAGTTGGTTTTGTCTGTTACAACAAAAACCCCTTCGTCTACCGTGCCTTGTCTATTAATAGAACAGTGTTGGCTTGTTTGTTCGGGATACCATGGTATTTTGTTGTTGCAAAATGGCCATCGTTCTCCAATAACTAAACGTTGTTTTTATAAAAACAACAATAAAGATATTAAGCCTGACCATTTTGCAACAACAAAATACTATGGTATCCCGAACAAACAATCCAACACTGTTCGAAAAAAAATATTTTTCAAGTTCTTCCGGGCCATGAATCGGGAATATTAAAAAAATTAAGCCTATTGCGTTAGACTTTTTTAATTGTTGTAAGGCCAAGAATTGTGAATTTTTTAAAAATATTTCTCAAAGGCAAATATCGCGAACTTTTTAAAAATATTTTTCAGGGAATTTCTGAATAAAAATCGTTTTTTTTCTGGGCTAGGATCGTGTCCTTTTTAGTTTGTTTCAAAGATTTCCTAGCCAAGAATCGTGAAAATATTAGAATTATTATTATTATTGGAAGAAATTCCACACATTTTTAAATAAAATTCTTCAAGGACTTCCTGGTCAGGAATCGTGTATTTTGCAGAATATTTTTCAGCAGGATTTTTATTAAAGACTTTACTGTCCAAAATCGCGATCTTTTAAAAATATTCTTTTTAGTTTTCTTTTTTTTTTAATTTTTAAATATATTTTTCAACATATCGTGGTTAAGATGTTCTTGGAAGAACTTTTTAAAATATTATTCAAAGACTTCCTGTCCAAGGATCGTGCATTTTTTAGAATATTTTTCAGGGATATCCTGCCCGAGTCGTATATTTTTATTTATTATCAAAATCTTATTGTGCTTATTGGCCTGGAATCATGCATTTAAAACAAATACGGACTTCTAAGTACTTCCTTAGCCATGAATCGATGATTTTTATGAATATTTGGCTTTAAATATTTATTAAGAATTTCCTGGTCAAAAATCGTGTTCAAAATCGTGGACATTTGAAAACAGTGTTTCAGGGAATTTCTTGGATTTTTATAGATATTTTTCAAGGATATCGTGGCTAAGATATTTTGAAAGGACTTCATAGGCAAAAATAGTATTTTTTTTAATATCAAAGACTTTCTGGTTGATAAAGGTGTATTTTTTAGAATATTCAAGAACTTCCTGTCCAGGGGTCATGCATTTAATTTAAATACGAATTTCTTGTCCAAAATTGGGTATTTCTTTGACATATTTTTCAGAATATTTTCCAAAGATTTCCTTGGCTTCGAATCGTGGATTTTTTACTGGCTAAAAATCGTGGAAGAACATTTTTCCAGGACTTTCCGGCCCGAAATAGTTAATATTTGGCAATTATTTAATCAGGAATTTAAAACAAATACGGAATCCTTGACAAAAATCAGATACTTCTTTAAAATATTTTTCAGAATATTTTCCTAGGACTTCTTGGTCATGAATCATAGACTTTAAGGAGTATTTTCAATATTCATCAAGGATTCTCTGGCCAAAAATCGTGGATTTTCTTTAAAGACATTTTTCAAGGACTTTACTGTCCAAAATCGTGAACTTTTATAAATATTTTTTTAGGGAAGTCTTGGATTTTTATATATATTTTCAAGATATCGTGGTTAAGATGTGATGATTTTCCTAGGATAGAATAGCACATTTTTTTAAATATTCTTCAAAGATTTCCTGATTCTTTATCAGGAATATTTTTTCGTGAATATTTTTAAATAGTTTTAAGGACATCTGAGCCCGAGTCGTGATTTTGTTAAAGATTTTCAAAAGCTTACTGGTTTGGATTCATTAATTTAATAAAAATACGAATTTCTTTTCCATAGTCGGATATTTCTTTAACATATATTTCACATTACTTTAATATATTTTTCAGAATACTTTCCAAAGACTTCCTTGGATTCGAATCGAGGATTTTTTTTAAGGAAATTTTTCCCAGATTTTCTGTTTAAAATCGTGAATTTTTGAAAGTAATTTAATCATGAATTTAAAACATTTACGGACTCCCTGACCAAAATCATTTTGATTCAATCATGAATTAAAAACATTTACGGACTCCCTGACCAAAATCAAATACTTTTTTAAAATATTTTTCAGAACATTTTCAAAGATCTTCCTTGGCCACGAATCTTGGATTTTTACGAATACTTAGTTTTAAATATTTATCAACAATTTTCTAAAAAAGAATCCTGAATTTTCTTTAAAGACATTTTTCCAGGACTTTTCTGTGTAAAATCGTAATTATTTGAAAATAATATTTTTCAGTATTTTTTGGATTTTTAAATATATATTTTCAAAGACATCGTGGCTAAGAGTAGTGGATTTTTTAAATACGTTTTTCAAGCACTTCCTGACCAACAATTGGAAATTTTCTAAAACTGTTTTTCTTGAATATTTTTGGATATTTTTAAACTATGTTTTAAAGGCTTCTTGGACGGATTTATTAAAAATATTTTTTTAAGACTTTCTGGTCAAAAGTCGTGGATTTTCTTCAAGGACATTTTTTCAGAACTTTCCGGTCCGAAATAGTGAACATTTGAAAATAATTTAATCATGAATTTAAAACAAATACGGAATCCTTGACCAAAATCAGATACTTCTTTAAAATATTCTTCAGAATATTTTCCAAGGATTTCTTGTTTTAATATTTTTTATTCCAAAAATCGTGGATATTTAATAAATATTTTTCAAAGGTTTTCAGGACTTCCTGGGATAAAATCGTGGATTTTTTTTCATAATAGTTTAAAGGGCATTCAGAAAACGGGCCGTAGACTTTTTTTAAAAAAATTTTAGGGATATTCTGAGAAAAAAATGTTGATTTTTTCATATGTGAAAAAGTTGTGGAAGGTATTCTCTATATAGATAAATTGTGGAGGATATTCTATGTGGACAAAAGGTCTTATGTGTGTAAAAACTCATGGAAGATATTATATTCGTAAAGAAATGTTGATGGTTCAGATGATCGGTAGACGGTCTGTTATGTGTAGAAGCTATTTAGGAGGTATCAAGCGTTCGAAAGTCTAATGTGTGAAATGAGGGCTATGTGTGGAAGAAAAACGTTTGCAAACGACAAGTGGAAGGGGTTCTATTTCAAGAAGACCTATCGTCGGGATTTTTGGCAAAGAGATCCTGGGAAAAGGTAGAAGACCACACATGGTCGCCCTTGCGTAGAAGACATGTAAGAGGTATTTTATATTTAGAAGATATGTGAGAGGTCTCCAGTTTGTGAAAGACGTGTGGAAGGGCTTGCATCAAAGGTACTCTTGGTAAAGAAGGCCTTCAAACTGTCCAGTGGAAGTCAAGTGGAAGGTCTTCTATGTGTGGAACAACTGTGAAACGTCTTCTATGTCTAGAAAACCTACTGCAGGTCCATCATTTATAAAAATACCTGTAGAAAATATTCATCTATAGACGGCCTGTGGGAGGGTTTTAAGGCATTGAAGACCTGCTGTACAATAATAACAAAATTTATTATTTATATTTAGTTCATTTAGTTCATTTCGTTACAATCGAAGAACATTTTTCCAATGCAATGAAGCTTTTTTGAGGTTTTTCGAAACTGCTACCATTTAACTAAATCCATTTCTTGATGTTTTTTTCCGGTGTATACAAAAGTGTCGGCGTTCCACTAAGTGGCCAAGCATCTTAAATGGCAGCATTTTGTTTAAGTAGTAAACATTTAATTAATTCAAGTGTCATTAATTGCTGTTCGTTTGATGTTCTATGCAACAGCGGTTTGTGTTCTCTTTTTTCCACGACTTGATGCATGCACTTGAAGCAGAACGAGACGATTGACTCTTGCGACCCCTAAAAGTCGCCGTGTGCGGTGAGAAGGGGATCAAGTCTTTCCTTCTGGGAGCATGATGATGATGAGTTGCAGAAGGTGTTCTTTTTGAAATTTTCTTGCTATCAAGATAACGGAAGAATTGGTTAGAAATTGGCAGCGGTAAGCGTCTTCTATCCAACATTGAAATATATGCCAACATGCAACAATGTTATGTCTCATGAAATAAGTAGTTATTTTGGGTCCACTAAAGATTGAATAATTAACTACTTCTACATCGACTTTGGAAACTAAAAGTCCATTGAACAAAATATTTATTTATCGATTTTCAGTGGCCACAAAATAACAATTTATTTTTTGCTTCATGCCCTTGTTGAAATTATGAGTTTGTAAGCCGATTTGCAATGAATATTTTTGGTGGGTAATGAGTGGCCTTCATGTTTCTCTAATTTTCCTGAAATATAAGTGCCTTACACCACATGGTTTTCTAAGCATGTGTGTGTCTTATTTTTTTCTCTCCGCAATCTTTGTTTTTATTTCTAGCATTTTTATCGTCTTCTCTATTCAAAAACTACTATCACAAATGTAAAAATCAAATAATATCCATTTTCCAACTCACCTTTTTTGCAGGAACTTTCGTTTGATATCTCTCATAAAACTACCATCGTCGGCATAGCGTACCCGCTGATGTATGGTCTGCTGGGCTGGCAACAAATGCCGGTTCGTTACCCCGAAATCCATTTGGACATCGACCACCAGGAGAAGCGTTAACAAAATGAGGGTGGCGCCCAGACTTATGGCTAGGCGCTCCTTCAATTTCATAGTCCTTAACATGCCCATGATGAAATTTTCGTTTGGCTGACGATGCTCGGGATGCAGCTGATGAAGATCTTTATTTGGTTTAGGAATGTTTAAAGTTTTCGTTTTGGTAGTAGATTGAATGCTGGCTAACTCTGCATTTTTATTGCAAGTTGATGATGACGCTGCTGGCGGCGGCGGTGGCGGTGGTGCTAGTGATTTAAAATTCCAATAGAAGGACCACCAAGAGCGTTTTTCTTTGGCGGAAGAAGCCGAGGAGGATGACGATGATGCTTTAGTATTATGTGAAACGATTTCTGGTGACAAACTGCGTGTCCGCGATTTGGATGATGTCGATGATTTGGATGTAGCTTTTACAATACGTCGTCGAACTATGACACGTTTAACTTTGGCGTTGCTATCCTCTTGCCAGCCGTTGTTTGGCACTTCCTCCTTCTCTGTTTGGCATTCAATAAAATCACTCTTTTCGTTGAAATTGCAGTTGTTGCTTTTGTTTTTATTGGTATTTAGGAACTCTGGTTGTGTTTGGGAGTAGCTGTAGTATTCTTGGGGGTCTAACGGAATATAGGGCAATTGTCGTTCGAACGATTTGCCATTCAAATTCGTAAAGTTTTGCTGCTGCAATAATAGTTGTTGTTGTTGTTGTTGCCTTTGTCCAGCAACACTCGTATCTCGTTTGGGGTCGACACGCTCCGCTTGATTGTCGGGGTTATTTAATTTGAGTGTTTGCTCAGCTGATAAATACCCGGGTGCTGCTGTTGTTCGTGCAAATACACCCTCCCGTTGATCGGATTTTAGTGGCGGTGGCTGTGGCGGTGATGATGATGATGGCGGCGTTAAATTTTCTGCGAATGCTGTTTTATTGCCGCAATAAACTGACGTCGAATTTGGTGATAAGCTTTCATCGATGTTTTGTTGCTGTCGTTGCCGTTTAATGCGAAATTTTTCCAAACGTTGAGCTAATGTAGGCGATTCAGTTGCTGTTGCACTAGTTCCGCCGTTGTAGCCTCCACTGCTGCTGCCTCCACTGCTAACTGCATTTGTATAAAATTCTGTACAATCAAATCGATTATGTGCTGTGAGACTGTTTATGGGTGATTTATTTGCAGCAAAGCTGTCGATAAAAATAATAATGTAAAGAGAGAAAAGAAAAAGAAAAAACGGTTTAAAATTTTATGGCAAACAATTTGGAGATTTATATATTGAATTGTAAAATTCTTAGAAATAAATAACATAAATAAATTTAAAATTTTTTTTTATAAAGTTTGCAATAAATCGCAAGTTTTGAATAAATAACATAACTCCAAATCGCATTAGAAGTAAGGATATTAAGTGGCTGGTACTTAATGAGAACAATCATTTTTGGATGTAGCCCTTCTCGGAAACAAGAATGCCAAATCGAGATATTTTCGCTCCGATTTCACTATATATATCCAATATATTTAATATCGGCGTCTACGTAACGGTCAGAATTGACCTGTTCGTCTATTTGTGATTTCGCCGATATTAAAAATATTCGCGGTTTAATGGAAAATGTGATTTTTATTAAACACAAATGTTGTGGTCTATTTCACCAACTAAATATTACCCAATGACCATCAAAATTGGAAAGCTTCTGCCCAGCCCGAAGCTCTAGCCCCATGCTAACTTCCGCGTCGATTGGTCCATAATTGTGACATGTAGAGCAACTGTAAAATCAAGATTTTTTTTAGTTTTTGGTCCATTTCAACCCTAAATATTATGCGATCATCTCCAAAAGAAATAGGGTTTTATTCAGACCTTAACCCCACCTCCATTTTCAATTTTGTGAGGATCGGGCCATAATTGCGACCTGTAGAGTGATTACAAATTAACATGTACAGACGGACGGACGGTCGGATGGACATACATAACTAGATCGACTCAGCTCGGCGAGCTAGGAAGATCCACATATACTTTCCTATGTGGGAAACCAATATTTCGTGGTGTTGCATAATTTTTGGCCCAATCAAACTTATAATACCCCCAACACATAGTGTTGTAGGGTATAAAAAGTCCAATATGGGTAGCAGAAATACCCGTTGTTCATATAAGGTCAGCTGCGAAAATGGACCAAATTGGTCCACTTAAAAGACGAATGATGGGATTGCGTTAAAAATCGTACGCGCAGTTCTTGAAATCCCCTATGAAGCTTGTGCATCGGCTTTTCTTATCATTTCAAATCCCATAAAAATTCGCATGATACATTTACTAAAAATCAATATACATAGTTCACCAAGATCTAACACTAAAAAAAGACAAATAAATCACACAATGCACACACACATATATATAAAACGTTTCTAAACCCCTTGATTCCAATATCACCGAAATTTGTCTTTAAATCTAGCTAACGCAATGGAAAGTGCAGAAAAACGATTGTTGGCAAACAAAAAAAAAACAGAAGAAAAACTTAAAAAAAAATAACTGGGACTAGAAACAAAAACTCGGTAAACAAACAAACAGCAAAAAAGCATCGAGGCTCACGCAACATTCACACACCCATATACATACATACATACATACAATGTTTGTTTTTTGTAAACCAGACGCAAAAAGATAAATACACTGACAAAGAGATATCCAGAGACAACAATAGTCTAGGTTGACACATGTCCCAAACAAACCATTATGTGATATATCACAGCTTTAAACATTGTATCTACAGGATGGATATGTGTATTCATACTGTACACATACATGCAGTCAGTGAAGTCACCGCTGGACTTAGTACAGTACATGGTCTGGGTATTGCAATGGTAAATGATTGATGTAATGAAGGAATGGATGGACTTAAAGAGTTCTTCAATACTAATGGATCAATGCTTGGAAGTTGTCATTTCGAATGTGGGTAGGTGTTAACGGTGCTGTGTCATGACCCCCATGGCCTTAATTCCCATTACAATTATGGGGATAGTCGGCGTTTTTTTTCGGTCCATACTTGTCGAAAACAAAAAATCAGTCATAATTTCCACAAAGTAGTTTTATGTTCAAAATATTATAGGGCATGTATTTATACCCTACAACACTATGTGTTGGGGGTATTATAAGTTTGATTGGGCCAAAAATTATTTAACACCTCGAAATATTGGTTTCCTACATAGGAAAGTATATATGGTTCTTCCTATCTCGCCGAGCTGAGTCGATCTAGCTATGTATGTCCGTCTGTCCATGTTAATTTGCAATTATGGCCGGATATTCACGAAATTTGGAATAGAGGTGGGGGTAGGGCCAGGATAGAACCCTATTGCTTTTAAAGTTGATCGCATAATATTTAGGGGTTGAAATGGACCAAAAACAGAAAAATTTCATGATTTTGCAGCTTCTCTACAGGTCGCAATTATAGACCAATCAAAGCGGAAGTTAGCATGAGGCTAGAGCTTAGGGCTGGGCAGAAGCCTTCCAATTTTGATGGTTATCGGATAATATTTATTGGGTGAAATAGACCATTTGTGAAAATAACATTTGTGTTATATAAATTTCAAATTTTCTATTAAACCGCGAATATTTTTAATCCCGGCGAAATCACAAATATACGAACAGATCAACTCTAACCGTTACGTAGATGCCGATATTAAATATATCGGATGTATATAACGAATATATACAATGTATATATAGACAGGAGGGAGATTTTAGCTAGAATGCTTATATCTCAAGATTGGCTAAACCGATTTCGACAAATTTTGTCAATTCATAATGCCCTCTTAACATAAAAGTATAAAATCTAAAAAAATCGCATAAAAAGTTGTCTATAATGATGTTAATATAGATTTTGCAGTATTTTGTAATATTTTTTCATTTTATAACACAGGTTGGGGTTATTATAACAGATTGCAATTATCCTCCCGAAAAAAGATAGGGTTAGGCTCAGAATGGCTAGGCCTATTGTTTTCAAAGATGTCCGCAATATATTTAAGGGTTGAAATGGACCAACAACTAAAAATGTTCCTGATTTTGCAGCCGTTATAAAGTTAACAAATCGAATCCAATGGAAATCTCGCATGAAGTTCGAGTTAAGGATAGCGGGTAGAATGGACCACTACTTTTGTGTGTAAAAAAACCAACATTTCATACAACTTCTGGCTTTTTATGCTGATTTCGTTGATGAATAAAGCCAAATATCTTAGACAAGCAAATCATATAGATGAGTTTAAATTTGGTGATACAGATGGGCCTCTTGCTATTGGAGTTGATCGCAAAATATTTAGGGGTTCAAATGAACCAAAAACAGAAAAAAATTCCTGCTCACACAACTGAAGACAGTTAAGAACAGGGAAGAATTCTAGCATTTTGGATAACCATTGGTATATGTAGCTGTAAAATGGACCACAACAACTAACAGCACGATGGAGTGCGCAAATATTGGGAAAATGTCCCTGGTCAAACCGCTAAGGGTAATATCTGGCCAGTGTTCCATTACATAATTTCAAAAGCGAAATATTCCAAAATGGATTTGGACATAAGGGGGCTTCTAACATATTGTAGTGTTGTAGGGTATCACATGGTCGGCCCCGCACGACTATAGCCTTAGCTTACTTTTTCTAACTTAATAACGGTAAAGTGTTTTTTTTTTCGTGGGGGAAACATCCGATTATTCGAGCTGAAAGTTCAGACACAAAACCCGGGTTTTATCTGGTTCAACAAAACTGATATGTACAAAACTTATTATATTACTTATGGAAAACATCTAAAAGGGATCAATTATAGGGTATTAAGATCCACATATTATTATTATTATTTCTTATACTTTTGCCCTTCTAAAATAGTGTCAAATGTGCTGATATCTCTTGTAGAGTTCCGAAGATATTAACAAGAAAATCATGAAATTGGGATTTTCTTCATTAATATGTAGGAACATGCTCCTTTAATCCTTTTTTAAGTTACAAGAATTATGCTCGGGCACCGCTATAGCATCATGGTCAAGGAGTTGTTCCGACTTTTTTGAAGACTGACTATGACAATTATTTTCACTGGATTTTATCTTAAATGTTCATAGGGAGAATTTATATTAATCCCAATTTTATAGTAAATAGGAATTAAAATTGTCCTATTTCAAAATCCCAATAACATTGCACTATTTGCAACCAATACTGCAGAACTTGTAGAACCACATACATACCCAAACCTAACATCCATGCACTCGTCCATATGCAATATGACCATAAGCGAAAGCATCGTTCAACATATAAAATATTTCACCGGTATGGACACACTCGATCTGAGTTCTCGTTTTTTTGCTGCTGTGATATATATATTTTTACATTAGATGTGGCCATTGTAGTTGACAGACACTTCGACCCACTAGGCTAGTTAGGAGATATGTGTACTGCACTGGTGGCACAATACAAAACAAAAACAGACTAATGCCAAACAACAACAGCAACAAAGACAAAAAAGGAACGGATTTGATATAGAAACTGGAATTTTTTGAAATGTTGTTTTGTGTTTGTTGCCAGAAATGTCCTTTGTTTTTGTTTTGTTTCAATTGAATATTCAAGACCAAATGTAGTCAGCGGGGTTTATGCAGTTGGTGGAGGTGGCGTGCACAACGATATTTTCGCACAAAAAATACAAGAAGAGTAGGAGGAGAATAGAATTGAACATGAAAACGACAATGGCTAGTTGGCAAAATGCTTTACGACTTGGAAGCAAAAAAAAATGTCCTTTTTTGTTGGAAGTTTTTGAAGTTCTTTGGTTGTTGCAGAGGGTATAGTCTGCCAGGATGTGTCGGAAATTTGACAGTAACCAATTTTTTGTTTTAGTTTTAGCTTTTAGTTGTTATTTATTCTACAACCGACTACACACTGTGTCCAGCATATCAACCAAGAATGGAGGCGGTGTGTGTGTGAGTGCGTTTTGAAGATATCACATTTGAATGCACCGGCAGAAAGACGAGTGTGAAAATTGTTGATTGACTGAACTTAAAAACTAACATATTGACAACATTAAAAATATGTTGTGGTAGGAAAATGAGGTCTTATAAATATCGCTCATTATTTAAGAAGTGTAAAATTTAAAAAAAAAAAAAACCTACATACAGTCCTTCAAAACCCCAATATCCTGTTTTGTTGATTTATGTCACAAACCAAGTGA